ACTATAGTTCTGTTGTTGGTAATATTTTCTATCATATGTTTCTAACAATGTGATACAATACTGGCTTCAATAATTAACGTTCTGTTGTTGGAATATTTTCTATCATATGTTTCTAACAATGTGATACAATACTAGCTTCAATGATTAACAAGTTCTTTTGTTGGAATATTTTCTACCATATGTTTCTAACAATGTGATACAATACTAGCTTCAAAACTGAATATGTTCTATTTTAGAATCTCACGTATTTAGTGTTTAAAATTAAATCAAAATTTGAATATTTGATGATTGTTTGTCTGTAGTTAAGCACAAAGCGACGCAATGGGCTATCTGTGCTCTGCCCACCACGGGTATCGAAACCCAGTTTCTAGCAATGTAAGTCTGCAGACATGCCGCTGTGCCACTGGGGGCGAATATTTGATGAAAAGGCAGATGTACGATCATGCCCCTAAAGATTTCCATTCAATGCAAACTTGATATTACTTTTAAGACTTCTTTTGATTCTATAGCCACATGAAGTTTTTCAGGAAATTTTGAAATTTTCAGTACCCCAATCTTTGTACAGCAATACAAAAAATGTTTTATGTCAAAAGTGTAATATCTGCTTTCAAATGGCTTTCAAAATAACCCGTATTTTACCATTATTATCCACTAAGGGAAGAACTCTAGAAAAAAATAAGAACCCAAGTGTAACAGCGAACGCTGGACTAAACACTTGCAACACGAGTACCTAGCGACCACGGTCGACGATTCTTTGCTTTATTTACTCATACTGGCGTTAGCGAAATGAAGCAATGAATTCAATCTGCGTCTAGTTAGTTGTGGTGGTTGTCTCTTCTTTTTAGTTGTAAATAAATATCTATTCTTAAAAGCAAGCTATATCAGTGGTGAATGAGAAACAACATTGACTAATACAAATACAAAATATCCCCCTCCTCACCCGATAACTCTCATGCCAATAGTTAATTTTGCATAGCTCAGCTCATAACGATAGTGCTCTTTCTCACGCGTTCTAATCCTTAAATTAACAGTTTTCATTGGAACAGGTAACACACCAATAGGTGGGACATTTAGTTATTATGTGTTCCGAAGAAAACTGTTACTGTAGGCCTACTCTACTTACGCACTGTCATACATGATTGAGAAGAAAATGATCAAACAGCTTATATACATAAGTTATTTTAAAACATCCACTGAACATCTCATTAGTAGTATCTGAAAATCATGAAAAAACGGAAAAGCTGCTGGACTCGATGATATGTGAACTTAGCAGATAAAAAAATTCGGACAATGGGCATAACAAGAAACTGACGTCTGCTTCCATACAGTCAACTGGGGACAGAAGGTCGCAATATGAACAAATGGCGCTAAATAACATCCCGATAATTAGGAATGTTCTGGAAGATTGAAGGAAATATCACATTTTATTACGAAACTGAGGAGCAGTCCTAGGAATCTGTATTCCTACACAGAATAAGTGAATACTGTTATCTTACGAAATCCACCACAAAATTACAAATATACAATTACAAAAGCCTTGTTCCAGGATTCGTCATGCAATGGCAACACACAACTCTCATCACCAGAGTGCAGACATGATGTAGGACAAAACCAAGAAATCATAGGATAACTCGATGTACGATAGAAACAAGAAACCATAGGATAACTCGATGTACGATAGAACCAAGAAACCACAAAATAACTCGATGTACCATAGAACCAAGAAATCATAGGATAACTCCATGTACGATAGAACCAAGAAATCATAGAATAACTCGATGCACGATAGAACCAAGAAACAATAGGATAACTCGATGTATGACAGAACCAAGAAATCATAGGATAACGTGATGTACAATAGAACCAAGAAATCATAGGATAACTCGATGTACGATAGAACCAAGAAACCATAGGGTAAATCGATGTACGACATAACCAAGAATTCATAGTATAACTCGATGTACGATAGAACCAAGAAATCATAGGGTAACTCAATGTACGATAGAACCAAGAAACCATAGAATAACTCGATGTACGATAGAACCAAGAAACCATAGAATAACTCGATGTACGATAGAACCAAGAAATCATAAGATAACTCCATGCACGATAGACCAAGAAATCATAAGATAACTCTATGTACGATAGAACCAAGAAACCATAGAATAACTCGTTGCACGATAGAACCAAGAAGCTGCAGATACTTCTGCTTCACCAGCACACTGAGTGGTCACAAGTAAATAGACACCTAACTTTTCGTCATTTAACTGATTTATGCTAACTAATTTGTGTTCACAGAGCACTATATAAATGAAAATGGCCCGCACACTAATTATCTTGTGCTACAACATGCCTAGAACTCAACGTTCTCTCTAATTGTCAGATTTTGTTAGAGGAAGGACAGTTGGTCAAGCAGATGGTGGAATAAGTCAGCGGCAAATTTCGCAGAATTTGGGAATCCCGCTTTCGACAGTCAACAGAATCATCG